ATAATGAGCAAACCTTTAATTATTGAATCATGGGCAGAACTGTAAAATGATTGAATCAGTAGGATCTGCATTCACTTGGCACTCGTTTCAAAATTTTGATTGTTTGGCTGTATAAAAAAAAACCTCATTCCTGAGTGGCTTAAATTATTTTGAAACAAAAACAAACGTAATGTGTTTTGAATGGCAGAGTTCCATTCAGTATAGAATGTGAATGTAACAAAAGTATTCGCAATCATCTTGATTGTAAATTTTGGTTGAATGCAAACAGTTTTGATCATTCAGTACTACACTGAAAAAATATGCCTTGAAGAAAATATTTATAGGAGAAAATAGTCGTTTTACTTCTGCTTTTCTACTACTGCTACAATTTGTAAAGCATTACCTAAGACCAGAAGTACGTACCAGCTTTGGATATTCAGTTAATGCTGTTTAAAACCAACTGCATGTTTTTGAAGGAAACTTGCGGTCAATTTTATTTAACGAACTAAATTTTTATTTGTACAAAAAGATATTTTTATTTCTCAATACCAGGCGCTCATACATATGAAGTAGCAAGCTTTCTATATGTATAAATTTGTTTGTAGAACTTTTAAATAAATTTTTTTTTGTAGAAGCCTTTGAACTGTACAAAGTAGAATTTTGGAAATTTAAAAATTTATACAAACAATTTTATATGTACGTAGAAATAGAAAACTTGTTACTTCACATGCATGAGCGCCTGGTATTGGGAAATGAGAATATCGTTCTTTACAAATAAAAACTGATATATATATACATATATACATATATATAATATAATATTCTAAAAAAGGACATTATATGTATGTGGATAAACCATGGACTGAATGATAAAAGCTGCTATCATTTGATGGTTGTTATGCTTGATTATTTCATGTTCTGCAGATTTTCCAATCTTTAAAAGAAAAAAAATTATAGATACTAATTGTCTTGGAACATTTTGCACTCAGTTTTTAAACAACCAAAACTATAAATTTGTACAATATGTTCATGTGAATCAAGCTGCGTTTCATGCGTGGAGGAGTCCAAGCACAACCATTCATTCGTAGGACATGGCTTAGCCCTCGTGGCCGCTGTGCATTGATACGCGACACTATGTCAATATCGTTTTAACCCATTAGTGCCCAACTTTTGCTTTGCATTTGTATCACACTTTTCGGTAAGAATGATCCAAAATAAATACATAAAATCAAAAAGAAATGTATTTGAGAAATCATATATCTTTTTTATTGCATTTTAGATTTTGTTCCCAAATGGGAACATTAGGCAAATCAGAATTAAATAACATTGTGATACTCTACAAAGCAATGAACATATATTCCTCGATCGCATTCAATGCACATCTTTCGTGAATTTTTTTTTTTTTACACAACGCACATCGTTTTTGTTTTCCATTTGGAATAGCGGCTAAAACATGTTTTGTAAATGTTCAATTCTGCCAAGTATTTTTGGATCAGAAAGGGTAGAATTTATGTTCAAATAGCTTCGCGCTCGGGCTGCGGCATCTCTTGTCGAATCCGAAGCCGCGTTAAACTGTCCACTTGGAGTATCAGGAGGGAAAGACACCTGAAATACTGCAAGGACTATCTAGCGAGTATAATAATGAAAATAAAAGGCACGAGCACGTGGCACTAGATCCTTGTTGAAATCGGGATCCCGTACCACCCTTGGCCTTACACTGACTTTGCGAGCTTTGGCAGTGCAGCTTCTTTGTGGCGGCACGCAAAATGTCCCCATCTCAAAAGATTTCCCCATATACGGTAACGAATTGGCTCGGGCTGAGACATCTCTTGTCAGATCCGAAGCCGCGATAAACTGTCCACTTGGAGTATCAGGAGAGAAAGACACTTGAAATACTGCAAGAAATATCTAGCGAGTATAATAACGAAAATAAAAGAAACGAACACGTGGCACTAGACCCTTGTTGAAATCGGGCTCCCGTATAACCCTTGGCCTTACACTGACTTTGCAAGCTTTGCGGTTGAATTGTTGAGCATGTTGTTAATTGCACTTAAGTAAATGATTTACCACAATGGAACACGTTTCAGTACCATACGTTTTTTGTGGCAAAAAATTTTAGTTTTTTGGAGTTATACGGTTGATAAACGGGCGATTATTTGCATAAACAGCTTTTATTTGCTTTGACTCATGCATTTTCCTCTTTAAAATGCGCATAAGCAGCCGAACAATTGCACGAAATTTTTGGGAATAGACTCGGATACGGGGAATTTTCGTTGACAACACTGGTAAAAACGGCCAGATGTGGTATTTTGTACAAGTAAGCAAGCAAAGCAGGCGAGTTTCGCGTCCGCGGTAGCCGGGTGGTGAGAGTTGCAGCTACAAGCGATTGCGAAAAAAATGTGTTTTTTAATTTATTTTATTTGATTTATATATTTAATTGAACTTTATTTTATTTTCATTTGTTTTATTTTATATAACATTTTTTATTTTACTATTAGTTAATTTAAATTTTTAGAGTTGAATTTTATTAAAAAGTGAACAACAACTAACTGAAAAGAACCAAAAAAAATATAGAGCTTGTAAAAAAGAATGAAAACAAAATAAATGAAAATTCTACTTGCCGTGGGACTTGAATCCATTACCTTGCATTACTGCCGTCTGTAAGGGTAAAATTTTTATGCGCATATGTGCGCCAGATTATATGCATAAGCTTTGCCGTTTGTCACAGCTTTTAGTCTGGTTGTTCTATTGCCACTCGATGGTTTTACTTAGGAGCACTTCCGTTTCCTGTGCCACGGCATAAGAAAAAGTTTCAGCAGCCGTCATCGATACGCCCCTTCGCTGCTGGCTATGTTTGAGTTCCGCTTAACGAAAAATTTTGCATGTGCAAGCAAGAACAAAGTTAGCTAGCACGGATAGACGATAGCGAGTTTGGTTGTACCTCATTGTGTTCGTTCGTTTCGCCACTTGCTAACTGTTGGCGAATCGATGACGGCTAGCATATCTCAATTGTCGATTTCCCTTTGTAGCTTATTTTACATTCACGTCTCCAACGCCTAACCAGAATCTGGGAGAATTTCTATTAAGTACAGTCTATGAAGTAAGCCGCTTGCTGCAAGACAGTCAACCGCTTGCAGCCGCATCTCACCGCCGTTGGAAGGGATTTCTTTTCTGTTAATTATTACACCGATCCTGCAAGCTTTGCATGAAAAACTATCAGTAAATTTTTAATTACTACAGTTTTACAGCATTGTCGGCGAAAAATTTGTATATACCTCGTCATCACATCATCACAATGATCTCAATAGTTTCCCATGTGCATAAGCATACATACATATACAGCTTTTATTTTTAGATCCCAGTAATGGCCAGTGAAAATAATCGTAACGGGATCGCAATAAATTTCCTGTTTGCTGATGGCTTCCGTAGTAAATCTCGAAATGTTTAGAAGCACTGCACTACACACTACAGTTTTTTGTCGAAAAACTATTGCTTCCAAAACTTCGCTGAACCAATGCAACACTGTGATTTACTTCGAGGCCCCACAGGCAAAAATTATTGCCTACCAGCTGGCATTTTATTGCCTGATATCCTATTTCACATCCAAGTAAATAACAAATATTTTAATAGAAAAGAGCAACATTTTTGTTTTTGTACTCGAATGTCAATAAAGTTCCCGCCTTGATGTTATCGCGCAAATGAAAATGTTGCTGTCTAACTCCGGTTTCCGCAGCCAATTTATTGCGTGATAGCATTATGAAGATAAAAACTTTTACCTGTGGAGACGCCCCATTATTCACACAAAGAAAAATAAGGAAACACGAGTTTGTGTGTCTTTTCGCCCGGCATTCATTTGGACTGCTCAAGAACATTATCAATTTCGCTGAAAACGTGTTAGTGTGGAAAATTGTGAAATCTTTTAGATTTTCCAATATGACGGTTTCGCGGGAAAAGGCATCAATTTCGGCGGTGCCCCCCAGCGATAGTGAACAAATCGAATGGTCGGCCGAGGAGGAAATACAATTGTTTTTCGCATTGGAGGGTTTGAAGCCTGTTGGCATTAACAAACATTTCTACATGGTTTGTATTGCTGATCGCCTATCAAAGAATTTGCAACGTGATGTTCCAGCAGAAGCAATATGGGCACATTTGCGCACTATGTACAATTTAGATGTTTTGGATGAGTTGGAGCCGCTACCGTTTCCTAACGAGGAAAAAGAATTCTCATTACCGGAAATAGAGTTTTCGGCTTTGCTGTCAAAAAAACGTGCAGAGTGTGAAGAGAAACAACGGCTAAGCAGCGTAGATTCCACTGGAGGTCCGCCTTCGATTATTGCCGTGGCTACTGATAACACCACAAAGAGCGGCAGTGGAGGTATTTTTTTTCAATTCCGTTTTTATATCTAAAGACTAATAAAAAATGTTTTCTTCGCTATATAGAAAAAACATCTTCACATAAAGCTAGTTCTAGCAGTCACCATTCCAAAGAGGTGGACAAAAAGATAACAGCAAAGCTGACTGATATTCCAAAACGTACGCCCAAGCGTACTCGTGGTTCGATGTCATTAGAATCTAATAGCAGTCCATCCACAACACCGCCGCCAATGCAAAGCAGTAAAAGGCGGCGTATTTAAATGCCAAATACAATAACATACATAAAAGTAATATTAAGAATCTTTGAACAGAAGTGTATTGTTCACAATGCCCATTAGAATGCAACTGGTCTAAACCAGGGAGTTATCATTTACATTTATATACACTTATGCTTATACGTACATACATATATGTACATACATATGCATGTTTAAAGATTATTTAAGTTTTCTTTATAAATAGTTCCTAAGTTCGTCAATCAATAAAAAATGTTGATTTAATTTTCAAAATTTGCTAACTTTAATATTGTCAAAAGCTTACCCAATTAATATGTAATATGAAAGTAAAATACATTAAGATAATAAACCACATGTTGCAATTTATTTGCCAAACGCTACAAACATATAAAAGTGTGAAATTATTTATACATGATTGAAAACGAGCTTAAACCTAATCACATAATTTGGCCTGAAGCTACATGATTTCTGTGCCAATGAACAATTGTTCTTCGAAGTCATCACTTTCGTTCCCAGACGAATTTGGTTGTGGAGATTGTGTTGAAAAGTGTTCCATTATTTGACCCGTAGCATTTATTCGTTCAAGAAATGATTTCAATAAATGTTTGTTGATGCGATCAGTCTGCGTCAGTTCCCTGGTTACTTGGGGTGCGTAGGATGCATCATGCACATCCTCGTTTTGTTCAGGAGAACCGGCAGTTATATTAAGATTCTGCTCACGATTTTCAGGATTAAGCTCTTCGTTCAACGACATTTTTTGGAACACCTTGACTGGCATGAGTAATTTATCTAGCCTACGTGTTCGGCCAAACCAAACAAATTTTGAAAGAAATATATATTTCCGATTTAATGAACTAATTTCGTATTCGTTTCGAATATTTATTGCCTTCGAGTGAAAATTTCTGACTTTTGCAAATTTATTTTGTTTTTATTTTTCTGATCTTAGTCATTACCTTGCCACCCATAATAAATAAAGGTGCTATAAAAGAAATAGTTCGGAAATTAGGTGTAAATATTGCCACCGCGTTTAAACAAAGAAGCAAAGGTAAATTTAGGCTGAAATTAGTCAAGAACGCAGAACTTATACTTACAGCCGTGCTCCCATTTTCAGAATCGCAAAATTACGTGCTCCAATATTCTCAAATCGGAAAATTTTTGCGGNACCTTGCCACCCATAATAAATAAAGGTGCTATAAAAGAAATAGTTCGGAAATTAGGTGTAAATATTGCCACCGCGTTTAAACAAAGAAGCAAAGGTAAATTTAGGCTGAAATTAGTCAAGAACGCAGAACTTATACTTACAGCCGTGCTCCCATTTTCAGAATCGCAAAATTACGTGCTCCAATATTCTCAAATCGGAAAATTTTTGCGGTTTCAAATCGGTTGCCGATGGGACGGTGGAATGAAAAGTTAATGGCAAAATTAACATAAATAACATGCTAGCTTAGTTTAAATTTATTTCTGATTATGCCCATTATATTTAGCGATATTTTTGGCGTCCTAAATTTAACTTTTTATTTTGATTTTATTTGTTTAATTCACTATTTATTATATCTATCTCTGTTTTGGGCAACGAAAATTTATCGAAGCAACGAACATTTACGATTTGGTGCGAACGATACATGTGCGATAATTGTTGCATACCTTCAAGGGATGGCTTTTAAGAATGCGGGAAACGATGTGGAAAATGGAACTTATCGATAACAAAAAGTTGCGTATTCAGGAGCACCCCAAAATAAAAACGTACGATTTTGACAAAAACGCAAATCGCAACAGTAAGTGGAAATGGCAGCACGGCTGTTAAACGCAGTCTGTATACGCAGAATTCAACGCAATTTCAACTACAATTTTTCGGGCTATAATAGATCGTAGCTAAATATAAACTTCTTAGTTTTCAACAAAAAGCTTTATTCAATAGTAAATTTCAAATATGTTAAACGCATTTTGAATAGGAAATTATACCTTTTTTACCATCTGCGAAACTGACGAGTGTAAACCATCTATAGAAGGAAGAAATCAGCTGACACAGAAAAATCTAAATTCCGCAGATTTCTGCGCTACGGGCTTCAACTACAGAAAAACTCTGCGGTGTTGAGTTTCATTTACATGGCGCTCTGGTAAAACAGATCGTGTCAGCTGACTCGGGTTTACGTATCGGTAGGTTTACGTTCCTGACTAATTTCAGCTTTATGTTCTTTGGCCTTGTGGTAGATGTGTAAGAGAGATGGAATTTCAAAATTTTAAAATGAGCCAAATGGTCTTCAAAAATAGTGCCGAAAACAAAATGAAAGTGCCGCAAAATTAAATTTGTCTAAGGCTTTTTAAGAACAATATAACTTTAGAATTAATATTTTTAAATACACTGAAGTAATATACTGATTATAAATTAGCTAAATTATTACAGTAAAACACTTTTATGGAGGATTCCTTAGATACATACATAAATTCATAGTAAAATTACCCAGAATTTCAATTACAGAGGGGAAATACACCGACATATAGGTATTATAACATTNGGACGGTGGAATGAAAAGTTAATGGCAAAATTAACATAAATAACATGCTAGCTTAGTTTAAATTTATTTCTGATTATGCCCATTATATTTAGCGATATTTTTGGCGTCCTAAATTTAACTTTTTATTTTGATTTTATTTGTTTAATTCACTATTTATTATATCTATCTCTGTTTTGGGCAACGAAAATTTATCGAAGCAACGAACATTTACGATTTGGTGCGAACGATACATGTGCGATAATTGTTGCATACCTTCAAGGGATGGCTTTTAAGAATGCGGGAAACGATGTGGAAAATGGAACTTATCGATAACAAAAAGTTGCGTATTCAGGAGCACCCCAAAATAAAAACGTACGATTTTGACAAAAACGCAAATCGCAACAGTAAGTGGAAATGGCAGCACGGCTGTTAAACGCAGTCTGTATACGCAGAATTCAACGCAATTTCAACTACAATTTTTCGGGCTATAATAGATCGTAGCTAAATATAAACTTCTTAGTTTTCAACAAAAAGCTTTATTCAATAGTAAATTTCAAATATGTTAAACGCATTTTGAATAGGAAATTATACCTTTTTTACCATCTGCGAAACTGACGAGTGTAAACCATCTATAGAAGGAAGAAATCAGCTGACACAGAAAAATCTAAATTCCGCAGATTTCTGCGCTACGGGCTTCAACTACAGAAAAACTCTGCGGTGTTGAGTTTCATTTACATGGCGCTCTGGTAAAACAGATCGTGTCAGCTGACTCGGGTTTACGTATCGGTAGGTTTACGTTCCTGACTAATTTCAGCTTTATGTTCTTTGGCCTTGTGGTAGATGTGTAAGAGAGATGGAATTTCAAAATTTTAAAATGAGCCAAATGGTCTTCAAAAATAGTGCCGAAAACAAAATGAAAGTGCCGCAAAATTAAATTTGTCTAAGGCTTTTTAAGAACAATATAACTTTAGAATTAATATTTTTAAATACACTGAAGTAATATACTGATTATAAATTAGCTAAATTATTACAGTAAAACACTTTTATGGAGGATTCCTTAGATACATACATAAATTCATAGTAAAATTACCCAGAATTTCAATTACAGAGGGGAAATACACCGACATATAGGTATTATAACATTTTTACACACATATATCGGCTGCATTTCTTTATTCATTCCGAATGTTTGGAATAAACTTTTTTGTTTATTTATTCTTTAGAACGTTCCTGATGGTATGTTGACGTATATTTCAAACGCATTCTGTTTATTCCGGCTGTGAAATGGGATTATCCGGAATGTATAAAGAAACGCAGCCATCGTCGCCTGGGAAAAAGATTGTGGTATTTTAATTTCGGCAGGTTGTGGGAAAGCGCGATTGAAGTTTGGAATGCAATTTCTCAAAGACGCGAAGATAGATTTTCTCCAAAGTCTCTGAAAATGTTAGTAGTGCACAAAATTCTTAAATTATTTTATTTTTAATGTTTATTGCTAATTAATTTTGAGTTTATGAAGGGTTTTCTTTAGTAAAATTTTTTCGTAAGCCACTTTGTAAGAAACACGACAAAATGTGATCAAAATTTCGACCAAAGTAACGACACTTTTTACACAATATCTCGGAAACTAAAGAAGATATCCAAAAACTGAGAACGCCATTTTTAAGATATTGATTAGTTTAATATGACTGCATCACCAACAAAATTTTTACTATATCATCAAAAAAGTTGAAGTCAATATCTTGGAAACTAGAGGAGATATCTAAAAACCGATAACACCAATCGAAAGACCCTATTTCAAAATATATAACTGCATCTAGAACAAAAGCGGGTTTCCCAACAAAAAAACTTTTAATTCAGAATTTTTAAAAGTTTGCAAGTTTTCAATTTCAAGGATTTTTTCCCATATAAAAGTGTTCAGAAATTTTTTTAATGGATGAAAATATATGACACCTTCAGAAAAAAAAATCAAAAATTATCGGCTGCAAACGTAAAATCTTTCTAAAAATTCTGAATTAAAAACTTGCTTTTTTTTTGAAATAAGCGGTTTGTAAATATTTCTCACGGCCCTTAAGCGAAGCGCACATTGGCGCGATTCTGTCGTTGCGAACCCGCAAGCCCAAAAATTACAACAATGCTACCCATACATTTTAATGCGCTAGCGCACACTTGCACAATTCCGTCGCTGCGAATTTTTCGAACATTCAATGTTCCTCTCTATTGACGCGTTCGAAACGCGGCTTGCAGCGTNTAAAACACTTTTATGGAGGATTCCTTAGATACATACATAAATTCATAGTAAAATTACCCATAATTTCAATTACAGAGGGGAAATACACCGACATATAGGTATTATAACATTTTTACACACATATATCGGCTGCATTTCTTTATTCATTCCGAATGTTTGGAATAAACTTTTTTGTTTATTTATTCTTTAGAACGTTCCTGATGGTATGTTGACGTATATTTCAAACGCATTCTGTTTATTCCGGCTGTGAAATGGGATTATCCGGAATGTATAAAGAAACGCAGCCATCGTCGCCTGGGAAAAAGATTGTGGTATTTTAATTTCGGCAGGTTGTGGGAAAGCGCGATTGAAGTTTGGAATGCAATTTCTCAAAGACGCGAAGATAGATTTTCTCCAAAGTCTCTGAAAATGTTAGTAGTGCACAAAATTCTTAAATTATTTTATTTTTAATGTTTATTGCTAATTAATTTTGAGTTTATGAAGGGTTTTCTTTAGTAAAATTTTTTCGTAAGCCACTTTGTAAGAAACACGACAAAATGTGATCAAAATTTCGACCAAAGTAACGACACTTTTTACACAATATCTCGGAAACTAAAGAAGATATCCAAAAACTGAGAACGCCATTTTTAAGATATTGATTAGTTTAATATGACTGCATCACCAACAAAATTTTTACTATATCATCAAAAAAGTTGAAGTCAATATCTTGGAAACTAGAGGAGATATCTAAAAACCGATAACACCAATCGAAAGACCCTATTTCAAAATATATAACTGCATCTAGAACAAAAGCGGGTTTCCCAACAAAAAAACTTTTAATTCAGAATTTTTAAAAGTTTGCAAGTTTTCAATTTCAAGGATTTTTTCCCATATAAAAGTGTTCAGAAATTTTTTTAATGGATGAAAATATATGACACCTTCAGAAAAAAAAATCAAAAATTATCGGCTGCAAACGTAAAATCTTTCTAAAAATTCTGAATTAAAAACTTGCTTTTTTTTTGAAATAAGCGGTTTGTAAATATTTCTCACGGCCCTTAAGCGAAGCGCACATTGGCGCGATTCTGTCGTTGCGAACCCGCAAGCCCAAAAATTACAACAATGCTACCCATACATTTTAATGCGCTAGCGCACACTTGCACAATTCCGTCGCTGCGAATTTTTCGAACATTCAATGTTCCTCTCTATTGACGCGTTCGAAACGCGGCTTGCAGCGTTTTGAAGGCGTCAAAGAAGAAGAAGAAAGGTGTCACAGCAATAAAGGCAAAGAAAAAAAAACGTGTAATGTACAAAAACTAATAAAACGTTCGTAATAATAGTATTTTGTACGATTTGGGCACGCCGAGTGCGAAAATACACGAAATAAAGGGAAAATTGAGTGAATTGTACATCGGAAATCGACGCGAAAAAATCGCTCAAGTGTGCGCACGTTTGCGGATTCGAAGTTAACAGCCGAATTCGCAACGTATTCGCAACGATGGAATCGCGCTAATGTGCGCTTCGCTTTAATTTGATTTTTTAGTGATTTCAATTTTCGCCTTTTGTAGGTTTTTAATCTATAAAGTGGTATGTGATTATTTGTTATATAGTGGCATTTTATTTCAAGTTTCTGTATTTTATGATATAGCCAAAACAGGACGAATTGTGCCAAAAGGCCTCTGTGAATGAAAGTGCCAAAAATGGCACTATGGTGCATACTCTTCCATCACTGCTAGAGATTAAAATTTAAAAAATATTGCTGTAGATCTACTGCATGTGCGGTAGCGTTAGCACACTGGCTGGGACATTTATGCAATATTGCGAATCGGTTAGGGACTTTTTCTTCTTCTTCAGAAGGGAGCCGAAAACAGAAATGATAAAAAGTCATCAGAGAAATCGGAGAAAATTTGTTGAGAAATTTTGTATTTTTACGAATTCATTTTAAATTTAGGAAGTTTTAACAATAAATACCACGATTTCCTCACAAAAAACGTGTAAAGTTAGCAGTTGGCATATAGCTAGTATTAAACAGTGTTTGTGGGTGGGTTCAGAAATTTATGGATTATGTTTATTGTGGCACCGAACCGCCAGAGGACATTTTAAGTAAGTGGAAAAAGGTGCCATTAGATTGAAGTTGAAGAAAATCACACCTTTTTTTATTTAATTATGGTTTGTTAATTCCTTTTTTCCCTTTTGCTTTCGTACAGATGTCTACGATGGCGGCGGCCAACGCAGCACTGGCCACTTTTCGCCAAATTTCAACGGCTTCAATATTAGCTCCGGGGACCCAGGCTACATGGAACTGGTGCCCATTCTGGCAGATGGCGGCGAAAACTTTGGTGTATCGGCACTCGCATTTGATGATTATGAGGAGTTGCTCTGGATGGGTAATCAGGGAGTAAGCGAAAAAATATTACCGAGAATAACTTTGATTAAAGTTGTATTAACTGGTTATTGTGTCTCTGGTAGGGCCACGTCACTTCGTATTACAGCAGCACATTACAAAAGTACACCTCTTTCCAAGTGCATGCCAGCGATATCGTTCGTCAGATCATAACCATTGACGCTGGCATTTTGGTGCTGACGCAAACGTCATTGAGACATCAGATACGTCGTGGCATACCGAAGTTTACACATCGCTCGAAGAGCATGACTGAAATGGTGTGTATGCAACAGCTGACACCAAATCGTTTGGTCATGGCAGGTCTGCAAGATGAAATGATCGAGTTTGATCTCCGTACACTGAAAGAAACGAAAGTGGTAAGTACGCTTAAACATTTATGTATACTGTATAGTAGCTGCAATTTATATATATTTTGTGATCTGCAGGAAAATATTGGATCAACAGGCTGTACAGTGCTTCGCAAAAATTCACGCTTCCTATTCGCCGGGGACCCGTTTGGCATGGTGACATTGCGCGATTTGAATTCGCTACATGTAGAGCACACTATCAAGACTCACACTGGTAGTTTATCCGATTTCGATGTACAGGGAAACTATCTCATCTCATGTGGATATAGCGGCCGACAAGGCACACTGGCCGTCGATCGTTTCCTCATGGTTTATGATCTACGCATGCTGCGTTCGATATCACCCATACAAGTGCTAATCGATCCACAGCTTTTAAAGTTTCTACCATCGCAGACTTCACGGTTAGCTGTAGTTTCTAGCTACGGACAAGTACAATTAGTCGACACTGTTGAATTGAGCGAACCACGAGTATCTATGTACCAAATCAATACGACCGGCAGTCAGTGTCTGAGTTTCGATGTGTGTTCCTCATCACAGGCAATGGCTTTTGGTGCTCAATCAGGTCATATTAGCGTAATCGCCGCCGTCAATACACCACAGCCCCAATTTAATGCCTTCTCGCGAAATACGGAATTTGCTGATCCAGTGCCGCAGTTGCCTTTTGTGCCTATTACAGACACCTCATTTCCGCTATCATCGGTTGCCTTACCACACTTGGTGACTGGTAACCGATGGTTTTCCGATTGGCCACCCGAGCTGCTACGCTATCAATATCGGCGACCAAAACACATTGAAGCAGATGTTATTAACAATATGAAGATGCAAGGGCCCATTGGCTATTCGCCGAACCCGCGTACAGCACGTCGCAATCAAATACCATATGTACTTGAAACGCCGAATAACATGACCACTAACAGTAATGGCTTGCCGAGCACGGTTAAAACGGCGGAAAGTGGCGTAAAAATCATACCAAGGCGTTATCGTAAAGTGGAATTGAAGTATTCGAAATTGGGTACCCAAGACTTTGACTTTGAGCTACACAATCAGACGTGTTTCGCCGGACTGGAAGCAACATTACCCAACTCCTATTGCAATTCCATGTTGCAGGTAAAAATATTTGGCCTCACTTTTCTTTTTGTAAGAGTTCAAAATTAGTTCCTCTAATGTGGTGTTGAAATTGAAAAATTGAATGTTAATGATAGTGTTTCAAAAAATTCTTGCATTCCTTAAATTTTTTTCAGATATTATATTTTATTGAGCCCCTGCGTCTAAAACTGATTGAACATTCTTGCAAAAAGGAGTTTTGTTTGTCCTGTGAACTCGGTTTCCTCTTCAATATGTTGGATAAAAGCTCAGGTGCGCAACGATATGTACATTTGATTTTGTCGCAATAAAAATTTATTTTAAATAAATTTTATTCCTTTTAAACACAGCTGCAACACCATGTCAAGCCAGCAATTTTCTACGTTCATTTCGTACGGTGCCTGAAGCATCGGCACTGGGTCTTATACTGTCCGATCGTTCGTCCAATGTTAATTTAATAAATCTTATACAGGTAAGCTAATTTAAAATTTTTTTTTAAATTACTTAGAATAATACTTGGCCTGTTTCTGCAGAATTGGAATCGTTTTATTCTACATCAGATGCATTATGAAATGGTAGACTCAGATAAAAAAAGTCGCTTGAATAGCGCAACAAGCACAAGCAGTTCCGGTATTTATAATTTATTTACAACACAACTTTTTATTTTTATAGCTTTGCGATGCATACTTGTTCATATTTTTATGGAAGTATAAACGATTAGTTAAGAAAAACATATCTTCGCATCAAGAAACAAGAATGCAAAAAGTCTTATTACTTTGTTTTCAAACACTATATTTTAATTCCTACATAATTTGTATGTGCCTGTAACTTCTTCACTAAACTTATCACGTACCACTTAATGTTTTCGGTCAAGAATTTTTATATAGGGAATCACTATATGGATTTTGACGGATCAAAGAATTCGAATTTCGTTTGAAAAACTGATTATGCATCACATTTGCATCTACTTATAAAATTGTTGTTTTCTTCTCAAAACTATGGGGCCAGTAAGCGTTGAAGCCTACAAAATGAATCTCAATATTTGTGTATACTATTTTTATATATGTTATATAATTTAAATAAAAATATATCTTATCTTGGCAAATAAAAATCATCTAGAAGAAAACTCGACTAGCATCGAAAAACCTGCTGTGGACCTAAGCAGTAAATCGGGCGAAATATTTCAAACCATCGATATGAAAAGCGGTAAGTTGATACCCTGTCTTAATTAAACTAATTTCGTGAGTAAAATACAAATATTTCACAGACGATGATCGCGAACGAAGTAAAATTAATGAAGAATCGGAAATCAGTCGTCTATTCGGTACCAAGCAAGATTGCATAAACCGCTGTTTGAAATGCAACAACGAGGTAGTTGTTACAAAACATATTGAGTGACATTTTATATAATTTAACCGTGTTTGGTATAACTGAATCGCTTTTATTTTTATTTTTGTAGAAAACTAAACAAAACATACTATTGGCCTGTAATCTTAGTTATCCATTGCATGTCAAAGAAATTGAACAATTCAATTTTGGTTCCATTCTTAAAGGCTCTCTAAGCACGGAAAAGCACATACAAGCCTTTTGCGAACATTGCAAGAAATTCTCACCTACCAAGCAAAGTGTTAAGGTTATTTAATTATATTTATCATATAAAGTACAAGTAAAAGAGAACTTCCTCTTTTTTAAGGTCACTTGTCTTCCACAAATACTGGCAATCAATTGCGGTTTGAGCAATGAAAAAGATTTGGGATTCCTGCGAAGACAATTGAATCGTAATTTACACACACCATCAGAGAGTCCAGCATTGAATACAAATAAGCCCTGTCGTTATGGCATAAATTGCTCTCGCAGCGATTGTCATTTTGTGCATCCCGATAGGTAAGTGTGCTTTAGTTTTCGGCTATTCCTATTATTCTCACTACAAATTTAAAATAGGAAATCTCCAACTTCCAGCACTACAAGAACTCAAACTAATACCTCACCAAATGGTCGCCAGAACTCCTGGTTTCCTTTAAGCTTTTCGATATCTATTGGTGAACAGGGCGAGCTGAGTGTGCAAACTGAGCTTAGTAATACAAAAACCGAAGAGGTAATAAGAAATGTTGGTAATAATGAAGATTTCACAACGGGTTTGTTATTTCTATTTACAGCACAATTCCACAGAGAATAAGGAAAATCGAAGAAGCGGCAATGAGACAAGCGTTGCAGGCGGCGAAAGCACAGGCCTCGATAAAAAACAAAGAGCTAATTGTAAGTACAATAGTTTATTATGCTGTTCAGGACACTGACTATGGCACAAAACCGAAACCGATTTATCTCCAATTTAAACTTGACAAGGAATGTGTAACCACGGTATAGCGATGGCATGTACAAATCCATCCATAATGGAGTTACTCCAGGTTACTTTGCTGCAGAGCGCTATTTTGAATGTCCTCTCGAAAACAATGGCATGGTTCATATAACCTTTGGGGAAGGGCTAATGGGAGCTGGGATTCTAGCCTCTTCATGCTCGTGGATGATAAGACTTGTCCTCTTCCAAAACCGTCGGACATGTGCGCATCGTTCCCGAAATACGTACAAAGGCTAGACGTTGAAGTTTTTTCACTTTCTCACCGTGATTAAATGAGTTCTCAAAACCCGGGGGTGGTCATATGTAATTTCTATTGTCGTATCAGGATCTTTGGGCTGCACACCAAGGCTTGCCTGGTAAACGCCTACACACCATTAATGCCCTTGTTGTTGTTGTTGTTGTTGTTGTTGTAGCGGCTACAACAACCCCGCCCAGATCGGTTAATATCTCAGTCGTCGTCAAACTCCACTAACGGAAGCCCTAAGAAGCATGCAGCCTCAATCGGATCGGTCCACAGGGACAAAGGCGTTAGTGTTTTCGGGTTTTCCGGGCATACGAAGAGATGTTTCGAGTCATGGGGTGTCTCTCCGCATGTGGGACACTCATTTGGCACATCTGCGTCTAATCTGCTGCAGTAGCCAAAGCGAAGTTGGGTTGTTGTGGTTCTAGTCTCCCGAGGCAAATGAAGAACCGTCACGTCGATGTCCAGTGGTTGTGCTCCTAGAACGGCATTCACAGGTCTGGAGTCTACATAACCCTGTGAACGCCGCTCAGAGCTTGTCGATAAGCTGACAGGTCCCCTGTTGTTGTTGTTGTTGCTGTAGCGGCTACAACAACCCCGCCTCTATGGGGTCGGTCCACAGGGACGACGCCGTTAGGGTTCCGGGCATGCGAAGAGATGTTTCGAGTCGTGAGGGGTCTCTCCGCATGCCGGACACCGTTCGGCACATCCGCATTTAGCCTACTCAGGTAGGAGTTTAGCCTGCTGCAGTATCCTGAGCGAAGTTGGGCTATTGTTGTTCTGGGGTCCCGAGGCAGATGGAGCTCCGTCGCGTCAATGTCCGGTGTTTGTGTGCCTAGAACGGCATTCAGAGGTCTTGATTCTACATAACTCGAGACTACGACCCTGTGAATGCCGTTCAGGGCCTGTCTGTAAGCTGACGGGTCCAGAGGCTGCTTAATGAACCTCTGGACTTCGTCCGTGAGTTCATATAGATGCCTCCTGACGTGCCTCGGCGAGGGCTCCTCTGCAAGCAGCTGTCTATTTGGGTGGCCACATCTGTGGCTCCCAACCAGAAACTGCTTGCAGAGCATCGTGTTGTGCTCCCTAATTGGGAGCATTTTCGCCTCATCGTGGAGGTGGTGTTCTGGTGACATCAGGAGGCATCCGGTCGCTGTCCTAAGTGCTGGGTTTTGTGCCGTCTGTAGCTTCATCCACTGCGTCCTACTAGTCCCGGCGACCACACTGGTAGTTTAAAACCGGCCGGCCTATTGCCTTGTATGTTGCCAGCAAGGTTTATTTGTCTTTGCCCCAAGTACTGCCGGCTAGCGACTTGAGGACCTTGTTGCGGCTCTGTACTTTATTGACAATAGCGGTTGCGTGCGCAGAGAAGGAGAGCAGGCTGTCGAATGTTACTCCGAGTATTTTGGGGTTATTCACCGTCGGAATTGGTGTGTCATCGACGTGAATCCCCAGCGGTAGCCTGACCTCCTTCGTCCAGGTTGTGAACAGGGTCGCGGAGGATTTCGTAGGGGAGAGGGCTAGACACTTTGCAGTGAAGAAGCGAGAAAGTTCAGAGAGATACCCGTTCACTTTCGAACACAGGTCATCAATTCCATTCCCAGACGCAAATCGAGCAATCGTCGGCGGATCGAGACAATGGTAGTTGAGAGAGCTTTGAAATGTAAAAGTTAAACAATAGCGGGGAAAGGACACCACCCTCTGGAACCCCCTGTTTTATTTTTCTAAGTTTGCTCGATCTGTCTCTAAGCATTACCGACGAATGTCGACCACTCAGATAATTTGCCGACCACCGTTTGAGCCTCTGTGGGAGAGAGGAGGCCTCTATATCTTCTAGTAGCGTGGAATGGCAGACGGTGTCAAACGCCTTTGACAAGTCCAACGCTACTAGAATCGTTCTCTCACAGGGACGGTTACGGTTAAGGCCACGAGTTATCTGAGTGTTTATGGCGTTAAGTGCTGTTGTTGTACTGTGCACTTTACGGAAACCATGCTGATGCTTCGCTGGGGTCAGGTGGTTTGTGAAGTACGGGAGTAGCAAGGCCTCGAGTGTCTTCGCTACCGGGGAAAGGAGTGTAATCGGACGATACGAATCTCCTTTGTTGGCAGGTTTCCCCGGTTTGAGCAGTGGGACCACTCTCCCCACCTTCCAGATGTCTGGGATGATGAGAGTGGCCATTGACAAATTGAGGACCTCCGTTAGGTACGCTACCCCCGCAGGACCCAAATTTTTCAGCATCAGCATGCATATTCCGTCGGGACCCATGGCTTTGGAGGCTTTCGCCTTCCCGATGGCCACCTGAACTTCACCGCAAGTGAAAGCAAGGGGGGCACAGGTTGTTGGCAGTTTGTGCAGCCTTCTGGTCACTCGACGCTTGGCTTTGTCCACCGGAGGATGCAGTATGAACTGCCGGCTAAAATAGCTCGCGCATCGCTCCGGGTCCGACGAAGCATGGTCGCCGAAGGAAATTTCGACTCTGTCGTCGTGCTTCGTCGGATTGGACAGTGACCTCACGGTTGACCAAAGCTTACTCACACCAGAGGTGAAGTTACAGGTCTTCAGATGCTCTTCCCATTTCTTCCGCTTATGTACGTTTACTAGCTGCCGAATCTCCGCGTTGAGATCCGCTTTAGCAGGGAAATTTGGACGTGGGTCGGTGATACATCCTGCCGGTACGAAGCGAGCTGCAGCAGCGGTGACAGCCCTGCGGAACTTACGTTCACCAAGGTGGACGTCGGTTGGTGTG